TCAGAACAATAATGGTCTAATTGCTATTTCTGAGTTCTCGAGAAAAAGAAAACTTCTATGAAATATTCTTGAATTAATTAAACAATAATTTTACACTGTAATCAACAATATTAACTATTATTAACTGTTAATATTAATAATTGCAATCAATTATTTATTAATATTTAATTAATCCGGGAATATTTCTCAAAAGCTTTTAGTTCTTGAGAACTCAGAAATAGTTAGACCACTATTAATCAGAGCCACTCATGTATCCACTGTCCAACGCCGAAAGCAAATCGTCCTAACGTTGACCCAATTATGCACGGATTACAACGTTAATTTCCCGAAATTTCAATTCACCGACGGTCGAATTAAAAGGCCGAGGTAGGGGTGCGCATGATAACCCGTGCAAAGATCACCCAGATACCAGGATGAGAGCCGGAAATCCAGACAATAAATCAGCTGTCCGGCCACTTCACTTTGTTTGAGCGTTTAAAACGTAGTGGAATCTTGTTTGCGAATCAACTGCGAATCCCATTCACTCGGACGAAGATTGACGCCACTTTCGCAACGGACTAATCGATAGTATCGATGCTGCATTCCAGTTAGGGATAAATTCGGTTCAAATGTGGATTGCGTGTCTGTCTTTCGGCGTGCAATGATATTTGTTAATTACTATGTTCATCGATTTTAAGTAGGCTGTTTATTCACGAATACCTAATGATTTAACCTATTCCATGCCACGGACAATTTCGGTTATATCTTGCTTACAAAGTGCACTGATTTTTTAACATTTTGTACTGGTATGTCATGCTGCAGATGACAACACTAATTTATTCTAAAACGTTCGTCACGTTGAAAATTGTTTGAAAAAGTATCACACTTTAAAAGTTTATAAAAATTAAATCTTATGATAATGATAATAAATAAAATAAATATACAACGTTGAATTCTACCGCTGTAAATTACTTTAATTCATTTCCCTAAAAATAAATACAAGTTTACAGGCAATAACATTGAAAATACGTCAAATGTAAAGGGTTAAATGAAATATTGAGTCACATTTAAGTTTTTGGTAACTTTTATATATATGTATTTTGATATTATTTCTTTACGTCTTCGCTGCTTCGCGACGTATACCGCTATTCGTTGCCACAATATATTAGTATCATTGTATCGTTGCAGTCTTCTAATCGGTGATATGAATTATATATATACACGTATTATGAGTTTATGCATTTATATCTTGTTTCTAAGACGCCACAATGGAATAAACTTAACATTGTTCAAAAATATTTTGACATAGTGTTTATTTAATGCAGACGACAACTAGAAAAATAAATTTATAATAAAAGTATGTATAACACTTGATGTTTATTATACATCTGCAAAAGTATGAATTTGAGTGAAAATTCATAAATAGTATTTGCTAATCTAATATTCGGTATAAGAAAATTATGAGAAAGTTTAATGAGATTTTGATGTTATTTAGAAAATAACAAGATTTCTAAAAAAAAATAAAGAATTCTTTATTTATTTTAACTTTCATGAATTGGTCCATTAAAATCTATATGGAGATCCCTAATTTATTCATTTTACAGAGATGTCTCTAATTACTGATATTACTTGAAGGAAATGATATTTTAAGGCATGTTGAAGTCTGTTGAAAATATACAATAGTGTTTCTAGTTATTACTGCTTGTTTATTGATTTGTAATGAATGATGCACTGGCATGCTATACGTAGAATCCACATTTCAGTGATCCTTTGAAATGCCATACATCGTTCTACAGTCACGATGTACGCTCGAATATTCCAATCCAAAG